GGGTCCACTTTGCCAACGTCTCTGTGGATTCTGAAGACTGGGATCAGGTCCCCTTGTACCTCATCACTGCTCAGGACTCCTGAGATTGAGCTCCTTGAGCTTGGGAGTGTGGGATATCCCTTTAATCCTGGGAGTGTGTCTGCTTGCCTTTCCTGTGCTGGATTGTGACTAATGACAAGGGCTCTCCAGGCAGAGCAGGTTGTCCACTGTCCTCCAGGCACCCGGGCACCACAGAGAGAGCAAACCCACCATCAACCCAAGCTCCAGAGCCGCGTCACGATAAGGAATCGGGCGGACCGCAGCCGGCACCTAGGATTCCCAGCCCAGCAGGCGGAGGAAGAGGGGAACACAGGACGAGTGTGGCAGTGGTGTGGGGCGCGGGGATCACAGGGCACAGGCTGAAGGGCGCAGGTTGCACAGTGCAGATCAAAGGGCACGGGGCGCAAAGTGCAGGCTGCAGGGTGCAGGGTGCAGATCGCGGGGAGCGGAGTGCAGGATGCAGATCCTGGGGCACAGATCGCGGGGAGCGGAGTGCAGGATGCAGATCCTGGGGCACAGATCGCGGGGAGCGGGGTGCAGGATGCAGATCCTGGGGCACACATCGCGGGGAGCGGGGTGCAGGATGCAGATCCCGGGGCACACATCGCGGGGAGCGGGGCGCAGATCGCGGGGAGCGGGGATGCAGATCGCGGGGAGCGGGGATGCAGATCGCGGGGAGCGGGGATGCAGAGTGCAGATCGCGGTCTTACCAGTGCCCGTGGAGGGTGAGAGCCGCTGCCAGGGAGTAGTCCATGGCCGGACCCGGGTACAGATAGGCCGCGGGCAGCAGGCCCAGCAGGACCACACTCAGGGCTCGCTCGCCCGTCCAGTGCAGAGACGCCGCCTTCGAGCCGGCTGCTAGGGGCACAGGAAAGCAGTCTGGGCTCAGAGGGCTGGTACAGACACCCCTCCACCTCTGCCACGCAGCTCGGCTTACCCACAGTCCGCACACACACCAGACACAGATACATCAAACTGCTTGCTGGCATTCTAGCAACCTGAAGACATCAGGGGCTGACTCAGGCATCAATGACACCGTCACACATCATGGGTCTTACAATGGGAAAGACGCAAAACCGGTGCCCAATCAATTTGTGGGTTTACACTCTGGCTCATTAAGCACATACCTTGTGCTTAATGAAGTCACTGAGTCAAAGAGCTTCTGAACCGGAGGAAAAATTACAGCATCCATGATATTGTGAAACCAATCTCAGTGAGAAGACTGGTTTCTGCAGCAAACAAAGATAAACACTTCTGGGGACAAAAAGCCAGGTAGTAGGTTTTTTTGAATGTCACGAGTGTGCCCCCCACTAGACAAAAAAAAAAAACCACCACTACTCCAAAGAATCTGTTCTTTTTCGATGAGATTGCCTGAGGGCAATCCGACAGCTCTGGCAGTGTTGTGGGCATATATGTGAAGTCTGACTACAAAACTTTAACAGTAAAGCAGAATTTGGTATTAATAATCCCCCCATGATGTATGCTGGCGATGTATGACGTATGATGATGATGTATGCGACTGGCGACGCATTGTAGACACCGCTATGGAGCTTGACGATGATGATGATGATGATGATGTACACGAACACACAGTTCTTGCCCACACAGTGACTCGCGAGTCAACGTACCACAACTGGTGTCAGACGAGCATCTTTGACCACAAGTGCCCCTTTTTTCCATAGCCTTTCTTGGGTTTATACAGTTCTCAAAGATGCATTTCACTCCTGTTTTCATTCACCATTAAACCCTAAAAGATTTTAACAAGATCTGCTGCTGGGATTTCGGGAACGAGTGGCACCCCAGTTCCGGCAGACTTTGACCCCTGACCCGCAGACTCTGGACTCACCATGGTGTGCCGGGGAGAGGTGTATCTGGGCGGCCAGCAGGGTGGGGGGGTCGCGGCTCTTCCTTGTGGAAACCAGCGGGCGGGCGAGGAGGAAATTCGAGAAAAGCAGAGCTGGAAAACAAAGCACTCGCGTTACTCCCCGGGTACTCTACTACTTTCACTGAAGAGCAATTACTGTAGTATAACAGCTGAGCCACCGGTTACTGACAGCTCGCTCCTCTGGTGTCGTTTTAAATTTGAGGTTTTAAGGTGGGGTTACTTTAGAACAGGCCAATCTTTACATCTTGTGTCTGGTCAAGATCTAAAACAACGAGAAGCGACGTATGGAGACTTTGCGAACCCCTGCTATAGACGGAGTCCACACTAGATTGCCGTCGCACACTTAAAACGACAGTGTCTGCTCTTTTGACGAAGAGCAAGGAAACTTGACCTGGGTTATTTAACTTTTACAAACTGTCAAAGCCAAAAACGAGGCCTTCCCCAGTTTGTGTTGATTCATGTGATTTACTTAAAAGCTGCATCTCATAAGAGGTGGCTAACATTTTAATGAGCTTTTATAGATTTTTTTTATAACATTCCCCTAAACACGGAAAATATATCGGAGACGAGAGAAGGGCATCGACGTAGCAACCAGTAAAAGAAATATTTAACGGGTCTGTCACTTTGAACTTGAAACACAAGACAGCTCAAGAAAATAAAACCAACAACGACACCTTCCCTTTTCTGCAACGAGGCAGGAAAAGCGTTTAAAGCCGACAAACACTAGCACAGTTTTTCTTCCGCAAGGACATTATCTTTATTAAAACTTACATCTAGCGCCTCTGTTGCAAACAGAACTCAACCGCACGAGAGCCGCCATGATGGACACCTCATCAAGGTCACAGAGCTGACCCGGAAACACTCCCTCTACCCGATTAATAATTCAGCAGGGGAGGGCAAGGGGCCTGTCCTTCCACTTTTCATGAATAAAATCCATGAATGAAGCATGACGTGCCGCCCACGCCGCAAATGGCTTTATTCACTAAATTATAGTCTAGGAATGTCATTACAACGTGCGTTATTTTTAAACAAAAAGGCTACAGACGCTATAAAGAATAGGGAATACGAACATTTCCATTCTTTGATAGCAAATCATAATTTTATAAATATAAATATAATTTTATAAAAATAAATATAAATGATAAATGACACATATAATGTTAGCGAGTCGTCTTGAATGAGGATGTTCTCTTGCAAATCAATTCACAATAATGAATACAAAATAACCAGCCTGTCCTCGCTAGAGAAAGCAATAATGCACTTCTTTAAGTTCTCTGTTTCTGTGTTAACGAGCTCAGATGCACGCTGTACCGGCCCTGCCGGCTCCACCCCGCGCTCCGACAAGCTCATGAATATGAACTCGAGCTCTCGCCCCACTTCCTGTTGAGGAGACACGTGGTTCTCCGCTCCGCTGTGCAGCACCGGGGGAAGGTCGTCGCTCACCCTTGCGGTCTTGTCCTCCAAGGTTACGGGAATAGGAATGGACGATCTGAACTCGGGTGTGGATTTCGCTTCGGCCAGCGGCTTGGAGAAGGCGGAGGCCGCCGAGCTGCAGCGGATGCTGGCCGTGGAGCAGCAGAAGGCGCAGTTCCAGGCCCAGGTTAGTGTGCTGCCGGCGGGCCGGTGGGCGGGAGGCCGGGCGTCACCACGGAGCAGCGAGCACAGCCACTGGGGTGGCGATTGAGGAATTTCTGGAGCCGTGAGAATTTTCTAGACTTATACAGCGCCTTGCACCCCAGGGGACCGACACGTTTTATCATCTCCCACCAGCGGGATGAGCAGGAGCCCCACGGCGCTGCAGGACAGGGGGAGGAGTGAGAAACGAGTCAGTGCAGTAAAGGGTGACTTTAATAATTAATAATAATTCCTCAATTTATAGAGCTCTTTTCTGGACACCCCATTCAAAGCTCTTTACAGGTGCAGCCCCACCTGGATGATGCTCCAGTCCTCTCCCCCCACACCAGCTCTCAGTGGGGAGGAGAGCAGAGTGATGAAGCCAGTTCAGAGATGGGGATTATTAGGAGGCCACGATTGGTAAAAACTAGGGGGAAATTTGGCCAGGACGCCGGGGTAACACCCCTACTCTTTTCAAGCAATGCCCTGGGATTTTTGACCACAGAGATTTAGGACCTCAGTTTTACACCTCAGCTGAAGGATTGCAACTTTTTACAGTATAATGCCCCCATCACTATACTGGGGCATTAGGACCCACACAGACCGCAGGGTGAGCGCCCCCTACTGGCCCCACTAACACCTCTTCCAGCAGCAGCCCCAGCTTTCCCAGGAGTCTCCCATCCAGGTACTGGCCAGCCTCACACCAGCTGAGCTCCAGTGGGGCTGCCAGCTGGGAGCTGCAGGGTGACATGGCTGCTGGTGTGTCTTGCTCTCAATCAGTGAATCAGTGACGCAGGGCCACCAGCGCTGTGCTAGTGAAGCAGTGTGCAAGCAGGTTTTCTATGATTGTGTTCTTCTTCCTTTCTCGAAACCAAGGTGCACAACTTCACGGACGTGTGCTGGGACAAGTGCGTGGACAGGCCGGGCTCCAAGCTGGACTCCAGGACGGAGACGTGCCTGGTGAACTGTGTGGAGCGCTTCATCGACACCACCCTCGCCATCACCAGCCGCTTCTCGCAGATGGTGCAGAAAGGGGCGCACTGAGGCGCCCCCCCCGACCCCATGCCCAGCGGGGTCCGGCGGGACGGGGGCAGCCGGCACACCCCTGACTCTATCCTGCACCACCTGTGACGCCCATACTGCCGCCACACCTAGAGATCTCGGATCTCCACTCTGGACCCAGTCTGAATCGGGCCGGTCTCGGATCTCCATTCTGGACACCCAGTTTGAACCGGGCCGGTCTCGGATCTCCACTCTGGACCCAGTTTGAACCGGGCCGGTCTCGGATCTCCACTCTGGACACCCAGTTTGAACCGGGCCGGTCTCGGATCTCCACTCTGGACACCCTGTTTGAACTGGGCTGGTCTCGGATCTCCACTCTGGCCCCCAGCGTGTGACAGGAGTGTGGCCCCAGGGCCCGATGCGTGCTGCAGGCTGGTGGAGGTGTCTCGGCGGTGCTGCTGTGACCTCGAGCAGAGCCGTCTCGGACCTCTCTCTCTCGCCATGCGAGTGGCCACAGGATCCTCTCTCTTCCTGGGGGGGAAAAAAAATCATCTCCCGGATAAAGGGCCACATTCCTGAGGTGCTTCCGCCTGGCGAGATCCCGCTTCCTTTTGATGGCATCTTTGATCACACGAGGGCAGATTCTGATCAGTCAGTCGGAGCCCGCCCAGCGTGCGTCGAATCACTGTGGGAATTGAAACACGGCTGGTGTACCTTGTCAGTAAGCTGGAGGAGTTGATGTCAAGTCAGTTTTCGGACGATTAAAATGTCTTCATGCTTCAAAAGCCTTTAAGTGCTTTTTCCTCTTTATTTCACAAATACAGTCATTTCCCTTGGACAGGCTCTCCACCCCAGATTAGTTCTCAGATGAACATTAACTGCAGCAGGAACCTCTCCAGCAGACAGAAGGTGAGGGAAATGGTTTCCCTGTCTTTCACTGTCCTGCATAAATTAAAAAGGGTAAAAGGATTGTTTCCATTTTGACTCAAAATTCAATAAAGACCATCAAATGCAATACCTCTGACAGATTTCTATCGCTTTTCTACCTGAAATCTTAGTTTTTTTTTAGGTGCTTCAGTCTTGCAGAATAAAGCTGTAATCAGTAGTCATCCATCCATCCACTATCCGTTTTTTCCACAGTGGGGTTATCTGGGAGCCGGAGCCTCTCCCATCTAGCGGTGGGCACGAGGCAGGACACACACCCACACCCACACACACCCACCCACCAGGGCCAGTTTTCTCAGAAACCAATTCATCTTTCAGTAGGACTTTGCAAAACTCCATGCAGAACATGCAAACTCCATGCAGACAGCACCCCAACAATCTAACCCCGGGCCACAGTGTTGGGATGCAGCAAAGCTAATAAACATTAGTCATCTGCTAAGAAATTAACCGAAATGAAGAGGAACACGGGGGAGCAGCTGGTGCTCTTGGGTCCTTGTTTCGATCATGGTCCAGGATGCCGTCTGTGTGGATTTTAACAGCTTTCAGGAAAGGTTTTTCTCCGGGTGCTACTTTTACTACCTTCAGCCCCCAAACGTGCTGTCTATGTTAACTGGCATCTTTTATCTCCAGCCTCTATATAATGGCAACAGTATGACAGGGCAGCTTGTTCCACACTCCCACAACTCTTTGTGTAAAGACGCGCGTCTTGTTCACCCCCTTGCGGAAAACTTTAGGATTACAACCCATGGCGAAATTTCTGTATAGACATTCCAGACATTTAATTTCACTTAAAACGTCTTGAGGCTCTGTGATGTTTTAATCATATTTGCGATTAAAAGCCATAACGCCGGTAGTGGCTGCCTGTAACCTCTGGAATGCCAGACTTGTGCCAGATGTGCACAGGCAAGCGTGGCTCATCCGAGAGGCGACGTCAAACCCGAGAACCCGAAACCGAAACTACGTCTCGTAATTGAAGCCAGACGGGCAGCGTTGAAGTTTGGGTGAGTGACTTTGCTGTCGTTAATGCGACTTTATCATTTTAAAACGCGCGACTTTTCTGCTAGATTTTTATTCCTCGTTGACCGAGTCATTCGATCTGTCCACACCGCCGTTTTCGCCGGTGTCCAACACGACCAGCGTCGGCTTTCCAGCGCCGGGAGCTGCCTCGCGTTCCTGCTCGGACCGACCGCAAACCACCCGGGCCGTCTGTCCACAACGAAAAGGTGAACATTTCAGACTGTGCGCGGCTGGAAAGACTGAACTGCGAACGGTCACCGCGTCTAGGCGGTGCCCTCCCGGAGGGGCGGCGGAGAAGACAGAGCAGGGTGGTCGGCGGGGATTCCTCCGGTGCGCGTACAAGGTTTCCTCTGATGGCGACGGGCTGTTTCCTCCCGCGTCGTGTTGAGCGCAGGGACTGAAACACTAGTGACCTACCGCCCGTGGCGGATTAAGGTGATCAGAGGCCCCTAGGCTGCACGTTGTGTAGCACCCCATTGTGTAGCATCCCATTACCAGAAAAAAGCGAGAGAAAATTCTGTAATAGTTCAGTGACGCATTCGGAGGCGGCACTCGCAGGTAACATACACAGGTAGCCCAGATACACACACACTACAACAGCCTGTAATGCAAGTACAGCAAGACAGCCAATAAATCCGATTCACAGCCAACCTGCGAGCTGACAACAGAAATCATGCGCTTACTTTGAAACCGACGCAACACATCGACAAGATCAGCACATCAGAGACCCATGACCACCCTGTTCGAGCGCATTATTTCAAAAACAGCAGGACACTCCGACTCGTGGAAGTCCATTGCAGTCAACAGACTCAAATCAGTCTTTTTCACTATTTTCAAACTCGCTGATAACTTCGGGGACACCCAGGAAGTTCCCGTTGTCGGGGCGCCCGAACTTTTCGCTGCGTCCCCTAAAAGGCAGCCCTCGCTCTGCTAAAAACGTCAACACTGCACCCACCGTTTTCAAGACGTTAGTCCAATACTCGTATTCATTGTCAAACTGTTTAGTTCTGAATCTATTAGACCATTATCCGCGCAGCGCATAACGTACTTCGTGTTCAGCCAAGCCTGCGGCGGCAGTTTCCCAGTCACTATAGCCTGCGGTCAGTCCGGAGTGACCATCGCCGTCCCCAGCTAATTCACACGCGAAACAAAACACTACCTTTCGAAGGGGGACACAGTAGCCGTTCTCTTGACGCACACTCGCCATTTCCGAGTTCTCTTTTGAAGAGGGTTTTAGAGAAATACCTCTTTTGGTGTTTATGTTGTCTTTCCGATGCTGCAACACCCGCCTCTTGGTTCTGACACGATTTCGGACCCAATTTAGCCCTGTATGGCCGCCTCTGTTCTAGACTGCGCCCAGGCCAGAGCCCGCTGCAGCTCACTTTTCAACCGCGGTTGCTGTAGCACTGGCCGCAACGTTGTCCGTAAGCCCAGGAGTGGTGTCTTTCAAGCAAACTTGAAATGACCAGTCAGCCTGGGGATCTTTTTAAGTCGATCCTGCTCACACTGCTCTTTCAATCGCCGTGCTTTTCGTTTTTGCACCCCCCTCTCATATGTTCTAGCGCACATTTCGAGGCTGGCTACCGTAAACGTGGACCCGAGATCACCCGGTGAATCCGCCAAAATAAATCTGAACTGCGAACCCATTGCATCTCAGCAATCATTGGTTCACAAATTATTCATCGTTTTTATGGACCAATGGGGGTCCACAGGTCCGTTTTAAAAAAAATACCCCGGCCAATCAGGGGCCCCTGATCAATTCAGGGCCCCTAGGCTACAGTCTAGAGAAACCCTCTTCTCTTCCTGCCTGTGCCCTGGACATTTCTCGCCCAGGAACCTCCGACGAAGAGAAGAGGCAGAGCAGACTTGTCTCTGCGCCCAGTGCCCTCAGACTGGAGAGGGCAAGAGCCCCTGGGGGAAGAGAAACAGTACCCCAATGCGGACTCGAAATCAGAGTGGCACCCAGCAGCACCCGCGGGAACCCCTCTGAGGCACGGCCATCCCCCGCGCCTGCCTCCTGTTCCAGCCCCCTTTTCGGTTCCCCCTTAAAAGCCAGACGCTGACGCCAATCCGGGCTCTGCATCGGTTCCCACATCACGCCAGCTCGGGTCCTGGATGCGCCTGGCTCCGTTATGGTTTTAGTTCCCGTTCCCCCTGCCGGTCCCGACCCGGTTCTGGATTTTAATCGTCTGTCTCGGATGGATCGCCTGGCCTTGGAGTTTTTGCGCAGTTTTGGATTTCCCATTTGACTCCTCCCTGGATCGTTCGCCTCGGCCACACCTCCCCCGACCACCGGCACTCCACGGACACACCCCCCCCGTTCTCATCCCCGTCTCCTGCATTCCTGTTTTCCTCGTGTTTTCCACCCTGGATTGTGCCGTCTGCACAGGGTCCGGAAAGAGCTCTTCCTGCCAGTGTGGCGCTGTCTGTGTGGATCTCGTGAGCGGTGCGTGACTGCTGCTCTCTCCCGCAGGCCCGGCATGACGCTGTCCTTCTCAGGGTGGCAGGTCCTGGAGGACAGGAGACGCCTGCGGGCCGAGGAGGAGCCCCAGAGCGGCCGCGCCTACACCATGTACCACGGCACCCACCTGGCGCACGCCAAGGCCATCGTCCGGGCCGGCTTCCGGCGCTCCGGGGACGGCCTGCTGGGCGCCGGCGTCTACGTCAGCCGCAACATCGAGAAGGCCAAGTGCTACCCGCTGGGCGCGGGCCGGCAGGACAAGGTGGTGTTCAAGCTGAAGGTGCGCGTGGGCAGGGTGAAGAAGATCGACCGCGACGACCACCCGCTGCAGAAGACCTGGCACCAGCAGGGCTACGACTCCGCCTGGGTGCCGCCCCACAGCCGCATCAGCAGCATCAAGTCCGGCCGGGAGGAGGACTGCGTCTGGGACCCCCGGCGGATCGCCCTGGTGGACGTGGCCTGCTGCGCGGACGCCGCCGCCCGCCGCGAGCTCCGCCGGATGATCCGGGGGCACCGGGGGGGCTCCCCGGGGGGCGGTTGCCGGCTGTGCCACGGGGACGCGGCCGGGCGCCATCCCGCCGAGAGCTGCTGGGCGTGCGGCCGGGCCGTCTGCCCCTTCCAGAGCAAGCACGCCTGCAAGAAGCGGCGCCCTCTGCAGGCAGAGTGAAGTACTGCGGTCTGCGGCGCCGCAGGGGAGATGCGCTGCACGCTCTCCTGGGGTAGAAATGACGAGCAGCGTGCGGAGCAAGTGCAGCGTTTGAGAGCGCTGATCTCGATCGGCCGGGGCCCGAGCCTCCGGGAAGGCGCTCTGTCGGCTGCCAGTCACTCCTCGCTCATCTGATCCTTTTACAAACCTTCCTGGAGTTTCTAACAGGCGTTCAGGAGGAAGGCCCCATCACATCATAACGTCACCTCCCACGTGTTTACAATACATCTCTCTCGCCACCCCTCCTGCTGCCCCATCTTCACTCCTGGAGCTGCTCCCTGGCTCATTCCTCATGAAAGTGGAGGGGGGGGGGGTCGGTCAGCCTCATCCTTACCGTCAGGCTGCTGTTCTCTCAGCTGGGCCAGTTCCACCAAACAGCCTCTCACCCATTTCGTCTCCATACCACATTCATCAGGATCTGCTGAGCTGCAGAACTGGACATTGTACAATCTGAGAGCTCCAGGGAAACGAATAGAGTCATTTTGCCTTGTGTTTTGGGTCACCTCGGGTACGGATATTTTGCCATTCTACAATCATATTAATAATAAAATAAGTAATTAAAATGCATGGACAGTTGCAGTCAGGAGTCTACAATGTCCCGTTTGGATTTTGGTTTTGAATTTTTCTTTTCTTGGTGTTGTGGTGTGGAATAAAGAGGGAATGTTCTTTACTTTAAATATATTACTTTTAGTTTATTTTTAAAAATCGCATGTGCTCTTCAACACAGGGCTGGAGATTATCCGGCGCTAAGACACGGTGAAATAAATACTGCCTCAGAGCAAAAACCCTTTCAAGACACCTTGTAAATTCTTGACTCGATGGACGAATTAATGAATTTTTAAATAAAACTGAATTTAACTTGTTTTTAAAACGTTTGCAGCCAGTCTCATTTCCTTCTACCTGTGAGAATAAGAGCACATACATATTGGCACTTGTATAGTTTTCTTTTTAACTGTAAGTAAGTAGAGGTTGTGCAGCAGACATTTCACAGCAGAAATGTTCCCAACGTGATCTGCATGCAGAGTTAACAAGTTCGTTTCTTTTATCAGCAAAACCATCCTGAAATTCAGAGCAATGTTTCTATTGGATTAAAAGGGATGTATTCACAAGCTTGCTTGTTTACAATGTATTAATTAACGTCACCGGGATCTCAGAACAAGGAGCTGCACATAAATTCCATCTATTTTGGGCTGTAAATTGGTTTTACAAGTTACTGTGCTCATTTGACTTTTATTGTGGTTTGAAATGCACTCATCAATGCTGATTCTTTCTAACCCCGGAATTTAAAAATAGCATTGCACTTCCCCTTTTATTAAGAGGTCAGATAATGTTCCGTCCTGTTGATCCCAGTCCCTGCGGCTCACAAAGCAACGTCGCCGGGCACTTTTTCAGCATACAGTGGGTGAGCGGGCGGGGGCAGTCAGAAGCTATTGGTCATTCGTGACATCGCCGACTCAAGTGCACGGTCCCAGTTTGCATGCAGGCGCAGGAAACAAGCTGCGATCAGGTGAAGGAAAAAAAAAAGGGGTTAAATTTGAAAGCGACTTACCCTCGTCTGTTCGTTTTCTGGAAACATGGAGAGCGCTGTTGCACTGTTCACTGGCAGGGCGTGAATTCACCCATCCATTTTCTAACCACTTCATTCAAGTCAGGAGCCTATCCCAGCAAGCAATGGGCACAAGGCAGGGCACACCCTGGATGGGACGCCAGTCCATCGCAGGGCCCACACAGACACAGATACTCACACCAGGGCTGGTTGTCCCAGAAGTGTTGCGCTTGTCCTGCAGCTCCACGGCAGGGTGTGGCTGTGCCCACCCTCGCTGTTCTCCTCGGGGGGGGGGCTTCGTTCAGCGGGCGGCAGCCACACCTTCGCTGTGCCCTGCTCGCCGTGGAGACAGTGATGCGGAGCACCTGGCTATAGTGAGCTCTTCCTCTGGAGCAGCTGCTCTGAGGGTATTCAAACCCTGTCTGGGCTCTCCTCGGTGATCTGGCATTGACGTTTGCATCCTCACTCCTAGGGCTAACGTGAACAAAGTCCATTAACCTCCCAGTACGCTGGACTCGAGGAACCCCAGGCGAACATGGGGAGAACATATAGCCCAAACTCCACGCAGAGAGCACCCCAGATTCAGAATCGAACCCAGGCTGGCAGCACTATCAGGCTGCAATGCTAAACACTGTGCCGCCAGCAATCACTAACTGATAGACGGGCTCTGCAATTGTTTAATAAAGACACTATACTGTACCCGTGAAACAGAAAACACCCTCAGAGCTTGTTTCTCTGTGTCCCTTTGCCCGTTGGACTGCTGGTATGCAGTATTGAATCACTCAAAAGATGAACACAAAAAGTTGTTTAGTTTGGATGTATTTTATTTACAAACAAGAATAAAACAAACATGAATACAGGGGCATTGAAACAAACATCCTGGTAGTGTTTTTTGCTATTGGATTATTTAATTTCCTGTCCACATTAGGTACCGTTTCTGCTCCTCCATCAAAGACCATGAAACCTGCATCCCATTTGGCTGCATTTCTGTGTGTTGTGTTTGATTGGATGTCAAAATTCATAATTATGTAAATCAAAACCCTGGAATTCCTTTCAGTTTAAAAAAAAACATTGAATACTAATATAGTGCATTGTCGTTGTTGTTTGAGGCAGTTCCGGCTCATTTTATGTTTTTAAAACTATAAATGCTGGTCTAAATTTGTCAAAATGCACGTGGTCACTGTGCTGTGTGAAAAAAACTCCCGCCCAGTCTCAGCTTCAAGGACAGCCCTGGTCCTCAGACACATGTGCTCCCAAACACCGATGGGACATTATGTCAATGTGAAAAATATACAGACGAGAAGAGAAACTCCTGACCTCTGCAGGTCAGATCTCAGATCAGCAGATTCTGCAGCAAAGGATGTTAATAATAATTCCTTATACTTCTTTAGCACCTTTCTGGACACTCCACTCAAAGCTCTCCACAGGTCATGGGGATCCCCTCCACCCCCACCAGTGTGCAGCCCCACCTGGATGATGCTCCAGTCATCTCCCCACACACCAGCTCTCAGTGGGGAGGAGAGCAGAGTGATGAAGCCAGTTCAGAGATGGGGATTATTAGGAGGCCATGACTGGGAAAGGCCAGGGGGAAATTTGGCCAGGGCGCTGTGGTAACACCCCTATTCTCTTTTAATGGATTTTTAATGACCACAGAGAGTCAGGACCTCAGATTTACGTCCCATCCGAGGGATGGAATGCCCCCCAGGAAGGCAGGATCGGAGGCCCTGCGGGCCATGGCTGCAATCTTCAGCCCTTGGCCTTGTCTAACCATCATGGAGGATGCGGCCACCCTAGAGCCCTGGCGCACTGTCTCTGACCCAGAGGAGTACCGAGGAGCTAAGCCCTTGCGGCCAACAGCAACAGGGCCCGAGGGATTACCGAAGTTCTATCGTGAAGATTCGGCCAGCGCCAACGTTGACAAAGTCCGGGTTCAAGTGCAAAGACTCCAGGCGGGTGGCTCCAGTCACTGCTGGCTGTTGATGTTCCTGGCGGCTCTGAGGGCCGACTTCATGGCGGTCTCGATCCAGGCGTGCGGGGTGGCGGTGTGCTCTCCGGCAAAGTGCACCCTCCTCTCGCTCTGGAACAGCAGGGAGGCGAAGTCCGTCTGCTGGTAGGGGGTGAAGATGGCGAACGCCCCCAGGCTGTAGGGGTCCGAGGCCCACTTCTTCACCTTCCCGCCGGTGCAGAGGGGCCGGATGAAGTCGCCGTGGATTTCCGCCAAGTCGCCGAGGGCCATGGCCAGCAGGTCCTCCTCGCTCATCCCCTCAAAGCGCGCCGCCTCATCCGAGCAGGTGTAGGACGCCAAGATCGCGCCGCCCGAGGTGCCGTTGAAGCCGTGGCTGGGGTAGTAGATGAACCGAGAGGGGAGGTCCGTGATGGTCTTCCCTCCCCGGATGTGGTCGTCCTCCCAGAACCTCTTGCTGAAGCCCAGGATGACCTTGGTGGAGCCGGAGTAGTGCACCTGCCGCAGGGCTGCCATCTTCGGGGCCGACAGCGGCGGCTGAAAGTCCACGAACAGGGTGGCCTTGGCCGTGGCGGTCATCAGGACGTAGTCGGCGGTGATGTTCGTCCGGACCGCGGGGTTCCTCCTGTCCTCGAAGAAGACCGTCACGCCGCGCCGGTTCTGCCTGACGCGCGTCACCTTGGACTGCAGGAGGATGGTGCAGTTGAGGACTCGGTAGAAGGCGTTCGGCAGGTGGTCAAAGCCGCCGGTGATCTCGGAATACCTAGAACACGAGGGAGAGGAGACCAGATCTCAGCCGCGGTCAAGAAGGACAGTGCGT